AGAGTTGATTTTAAAAAAGGTGTGTAATTAGATGCATAATTCTTATGCATAATTTACATGCAATTATGTATGAAAATGAAGTATGCACAGGCATAAATGGCTAGCTAAGCACCTCACACACAATCACAGTAATTTTTAATTTTGCACAGAAATGAAACAGGCAGTTGCAAACACATTTGAAAAAAATGAAGTCCAGTGAGGAGGAAAATTTTGGATCTTTTCTGAGCAGAAATTGTGCTAAATCCTCAGTTGGGGGAGGGGGGGAATAAACAGCATTGAAATCAATAAAAAATAATTTAATATAAACCAGTTTATGTTCGGTTGTGGTAGAAGAAACGGAACCAAACATGCTTGATCATTTTTATGAAGTGTCAGTCTCACTAGTGTAAATTTAGTATAATCCAGAGTAAACAGTGGTGTCAAGCTGTACCACTGCTCTTCCCCTCTATCTCCCTTCCCTGGGAGGTTGTTTAGGTTGGGGGTTTGGGGGGCAGTCTCAGTGATTTCTGRCAGCTCTTTGAACATTTTTAGTTGCTTTCTCCCTTAGGCTAGACCTTCTCTTCAGGAGGAAAAGCTAGCTGGACCATTCCCGGCTCTAAGTAAATAATCCGTTATTTTTCTTGCTGTGGCTAGAAGGCTTGGTCACAGACCAGAGCTTTTATGCTGCTGTGATGATAAGAAAKAGATGGTTTTTGCCACAGAGTGCTTGTACTACTAAAAATAAAATTAAGTAAAAAAAACCCCACACAATTTTCATCAAATTTTTATTGCTGATTGTTTTCTCAACACACTCCCAATATCTGAACTTTACTATTGCACCCCAGATGACTATAGCAACAAAATACTCACTTTGGTGACACTCATGCACACTTCTCCAAAGTGTCTGTTAAAAAAAAGTTTGTGCAGTGAAGTTTTAGATAATGATTTTATTGACAACTTTAATTTATTTTTGCAGTAAAAGCAGTAAAGAAAATATTTGTTTTTCTGAGTCTCTCAGCATTTTTTCTTTTAGCCTTGAATTATCTTTTAGAAAATTTTCAAGAAAATGGCTTAATMACTTGTTACAATGTGTATTTAAAATTAATAAATCAAATATCTATTATCTGAACTTTTAATATTTTTCTTCCTAATGACAGTTGAAAAAATATTTTAGCTGTTCTTRAATACAGTAATTTGAATCCAATTTTAATCAGAATTTTACTGTTTCACTAAAGGGCATAGTTAAGGTGCATAGGGGTACCTGAACTGTATATATGCTGTTTAAGGTAAATGCCTAACCCTGTTAGGCAGGTGTTTCATAATATGTGCCTATGATTCATAACATTTAAATTATTTTAACTTTATTTAAGCTCTGCAATTCCTACATCTTTTTCTCTTGTTTGTAGATCAAATAGGCAGCTTCCACTTTGGARTAAAAAATGGTGATGTTGCTAATGCAATATCCTTTTTTTTTACTCTTGTCAGTGTCTTCTTTCCTTTTCCCTAACCTTTTTTCTTCATGTTCAGAAAAGTATGTATTTTGAAAATATACACAACATGGAGGGAAAACCTTGTATATTTATATAATTTACTCCTTTTCCACATTAAAAAGTGTATACTTTTTTTTTCAGCTAAACCAAGGCTCACTTCTTTCTTGAGGATGTAGTTCTATAGTGGAAGCACTGATAAATTCCACAGTCTCAGTAGGATTTGTGTAAAGGAGAGTGATCTGGAGATCTGGGAGAGATTCTTGTGCTGATCTACATTAGGCAAAGACAGTGCTGGTAAAAGCATTCTCTGACTTTTGTTGCCTTATAATAAAAGAATACACAGTGCATGTTTCTGCCCAAGATAGAAGGGAACAAGGATAATTGTACTTAGTGTTTCATCACTTCATTGTGGTATTTCAGCGCTTTAAACATGTTCATTCTCTCAGCTCCCTTCCGAGGGATTCAGGTTCTGTGACATTTCTGTGTTCTCCAGAGGCCTGTGGGGTAGGAGTGAGTTGAACTGTGGATTCCCTGTTTTTCCTTCTCCTGTGTGCGTCTCTGTTACCAGGGCACAGCACTGGCCTCMGATGTTCATGCCCTCTTAAAAACTTACTCACAAAGGTATTTGTTACCTTCAACTCTTGTTACCTGCCATCATCACTTTGAACAAATTCTTTTTGCCTTGTGCTCAGTTGTGCTACTTGATTAAACCATATGCATGAAACCATGATTCAGAATGAGCCTGCGCGAAAGTAGAATGCAGGATAGAAATAAATATGTATGATCTTCTAAATCAGTGGTTCTCAACCTTTTTGAAGTTGAGTGGCACTTGAGAAAATTGGCTGTGCTCTGTACCTTGCTGAGGTCAGCTCTGAACACACAAGGAGCCGTCACCTTGCTCTTTTGTTAAGTGCTTGTATACTTGCTGGTTTTATGGAAATTATAGTAAATCTGCTTATAATGTGATTGGCTACATCATTCAGTGCTGTGTATCATTTTGTAGCCMGTCTGTTAGGGGCTATATGTTTACTAGGAGCTCTAATGGGAGAATATGTGTATCTTGGGTGTAGTATAGGAATAGTAAGCCCTATACTTACTGCAGAAATATTGGATATACCACACCTGTGAGATACAGGGATACATTTCATGAGTAGTAAATTAGTCCCATAAGTCCTGGAATTTCTGTGTATCCGTTGTAAAGAAGAAACTGCTTGATTTTATTTTTGGTTTATTTTATTATGATTTTTTTTCCTATCTGGGTAAAATGTGTGTGCATGCCCTGCATGGTACAGTAGATCTGATAGCTCACAGGCACTGTGCCTCACTGTGCATGGCCATGTGTGTGTATGGTGAGTCTCACCCACGCTGTGCCAGCAGGTACATCACACCATTGTTATATGTGCTGTGAGTGTGAGGTTTTCCAGCACGCCTGCGATACATGTGGTGTATAGCTGACTCTTGAATGGGCAATCAACATATATACAGCAGCCTGGATAGAGCTACAGCAGTCCTGAAGCTGAAAATTTGGATAAAATTTTCATGGGCAAGGTAAGACAGTGTTAACCAAAGAAGTACAGTGGCCTTACCTAAGTAAAACACCCAAAAAACTGCAAGAAAAAAGCCACCCACCAAACAAAACATTTTCACCTCTTCATCATCTGGTCACGGAGGAAAGGGGAAGGAGACAAAGGGAAATCCAGCTAGTTGAAGACAGTCAGAGGAGTGCAGTGTGGGACATCTGATAACGTAGGATTCACTTCTGAATAGAGAATGAAGTGCTTGCATTAAAGCTRCTGGTGCTCCAGGAAGATTAATTAGGCAACACCAAACTGACCCTGTATTTTAATGCTGCACCCAAGCTAAAAGTCCCACTAATCTTCAGTCCCTGGATTCTTGCCTTTTCYCTGATTTTCCAAACAGGTAACTGCTGCCTACCTGCCAAATTTCCTGACATCCATGCTCCAGCACTGCTGTTGAGCTGCCACTGCCTTGCACCTGAGGCAAAAATGAGAGTAACAAACCCTGTTAGGCTCTGGTGATTCATTCCAGGTATGCTCAGGAGCATCTGTGTGCCCCTCTTTGACAATGTGGAGCTACTTGCACTAAAATGAATTCACAGTAAGACCTACACCAAGTTGCCCATGTAACGAGATTATGTGGCTCAGGTTGACATGTACTCTACTTTCAGTTCTATTTGCATAAAAGTGTGACTGTCAGCATTATTCATGTGGTTTTTTTTTTTATCAATGCCTGAAAGTCTTTGATAGTATAATGATTCCTTTTATATGTGAAATGTCTAAGCTTGGTTTATTTTGTAGCTGTGTAAGTTATCAAAATGTTAGTCAAATTTTGCTAAGACACTGCACAGTAAAAGATTCTACAGTAAAAGATTTTCACATGTAGATCTCTTTTATTACTGTATTCACAGAAATTTAGAGAAACTTATAAAAAGTGTAAATTCCTTTGTTGAAGAGYTTTTATGTTTTTAATGTAGACAACATGTACTAAAAGAGGGTTTAAAAAGCAGTTACAATGAAAATTCTACTTGCCATCTGTGAATTCCCATTGCTAACAATATTGCCAACTTTTATTTAATGAACAGATGAGCCTAAAGTAACATTATATATCCTCTAATAGTATAGCTCCTTGCACCTASTGCTTTCTTCTACCCAAAGTTGCTATTTCATTAATAATATTTCTTCAGCTGTTTTTTTTCCTTGACGGTTCTCTAAATCTGTTAAATTATCTTTWAAAAAATATCCCAACCATCTTCCCCAATGGTATTTGGAAATTATATCTGGGAACAGAGGGAATATTTTAACTGGATCTGCTGTTGATAGACTAGTTGGTCTGGACTCTCAGTCATAGCCAGTCCTGGGCTCTGATCTGATGAGTCTSCTGTTATCCTGCTGTCTAACTCAACTTGTATAAGTCCAGCTCAGTAATTCCTACACTGCACTGAACTGCACCGGGTACACTTATGCAGTAAGAATGACAGAAACTTGATCTACATGTTTATACCACCTAGGTACCTGATCACAGAAATTTCCAGAGGCAGAAAAGTGAAAAATGTGGTATACCATAATCCTTTCCAGAAGAAGTGCTAGAATGTTTATGGGGAGATGTGGTAAGAGGCTGCAGAAGCATTTGCCTGTAACTAAAGATATGGAAATTCTGGCCCTTTGAAAAGATGCAGGATTTAATTGACTTATGCAACACCTCAGAAAGAATCCATGTCCTAGTAAGTTAAAGAATCCAGAAGTTTGAGACTTGATTTGTCTGCTTAGGTTGTGCCTCTTGAACTTCACACTGTGAGTCATATATAAATCACATACACACACACACACACACACACACACACACACATACACATATATATGTACAGATACATACATATGCATGTCTATATATATATCTATATCTATGTCAATCATGAAATGTAATACTAGTTTAGTTGGGAAATGCTACGCACCAAGAAGAAAAAAGGGTCCTAAAGTAACAAATATGTTTTCCCCTTCTTCATTTTGCTAGGGCTGTTGCTGAGGCTGAAGGAATTGTGCCATTAATGAACACCTTGAATGCCCAGAGGGATGGAGCCATTGCCAATGCCATTGCAGTGCTAATAAATCTGTCCATGCAAGAGCCATTGCGCACCACTATCCAGAGCAATGGGATCATGAGTGCCCTTGTAGGGCCACTGCACTCAACCAACAGCAAAGTGCAGAGCAAAGCAGCGTTTGCTGTGGCTGCCTTTGGTTGTGATGCTAATGCACGAACTGAGGTAAAACTACTCTTTCAGGTTGTGGTTATTGATAACATTTCTAGATCATGAGGTGGGAGTTATATTAACCTAGAGCCCGTTGTGTCTGTCCTAGAAGTCCTGAGCTTTTTAGGTAGCTACTTATTTTTCACTTCTGTGAAACTTGTTCTGCTGAATTTAGCTCAGTTTTTCATGAGAAAACCCTTTTGRAAAGGGTTTTCTTTAACTGGTATTTCCATGACTGTCCTTACTTGCACCAAATTAATGCTTTGCAGCTTTTCGGTGGCTTCAAAGAGCTCTAGCCAGGGCTGTATCTTGATCTTTATATTTAGAAGCATTAAACATCAATGTTTCTTTCAGCTGCAACTGTCGGCTGAACTTTGCAGATGAGAAGTTGAGTCCTCTTTACTCTCCCTCAGTGTTCTGTTGCCCACTTTCAAGGYCTGAACAGCAATGTCTGACCTTGATTAATGAGATACTGGATGTGCATGGAGTAAATGTATTTCAGACAAAACTCGAAATATAATTAATCCTTTGATCAGTGGCATCCAGCAAGCTGAACTCTTTGCTGTTTATGAATTGGTCATAGTATTTTATTCTCATAAATAAGAATGATGCTATGTGCATTCATAAATCATAAGCTGGGGTTTTCTCATGGGTCAAGGCTGTTAATTAGGACATGAATAAGGGGCACAGATAATTAATCTACCTCTTTCAGTGTCCTTAAAATGTCTTTCTCTTCGAAAATCCAAATGAGCAATATTTCCTCCAGCATGTATAGGAAAGATACTGTAGCACACAAGAGAATACGATGTTAATAAGATTGTCATACATACAATACAAATTCAATTGTATTGTGATGTAAATTAGTTGCTAGGAGGCACCAGAACACAGAAAAATCTGTGTAACTCTCTGTGGCAGCCTTGGGTTGTGTAGTCTCTTTGGGTTCCACACTGCAGCCTAATAACTGAAAAGGAGGGCAGAGCCAGAAGGGATGTCTGTCTTGTACCACTCTGAACTCCAGCCTATGCAGCATTCACAGAAACACAGACTCCCCATAAACAACCTTTTTTTTTTTTTCCAGCTCAATGTATCTTGTCTAAAGGCTTGAATGTTTTGGGAGGTKAATTTCACAGGCTGTTCTTACTGGGATAGATGAAAGATTTAAGTGGCAATGTCTTGAYGTTTTTTATAGTTGAGAAGTGCAGGCGGGCTGGAACAACTCGTTAAATTGCTGCATTCTAATAATGACGAAGTCAGAAGAAATGCCAGTTGGGCTGTTATGGTCTGTGGAAGTGATCAACTAACTGCTATTGAACTATGCAATCTAGGGTGAGTACAAATAGTATCAAAAGTCAGAAGAAAATTTCTGAAGGGAGAACTCAATTTAAGACAATCTTTATTTTTAGGAACAAAAGTCTTCTGACAAAATATAAGTCTGTAGTGAGAACTCTCTGGAATTATAAAACATTCATTGTTTCTGTGACTGAATTAGGCTTTATATTGAAGATAACTTATTTCAGTCAATATTGGGGACTACAGTGGCCCATACATTTAAAACTGAAATAAAGGTTTCAGACTGAATTTAATATACAGTAAATTGTACTTGTTACATACAGACCAAATTTGATTTACAAACTCTGGTTAACTGCAGGTGTGTTGAATGGTTATGTAAAAGGGGCTGTTTTATTCTTTCTTAGAAACTCCCAATTCCATATATTAATATCTGAATTACAAAAACTGGTTTAGGTTATAAGAATTATGACACAGGACTCCTCAGGGCAATTCTCTTAAAGTTACTGTTAAATGAAAATTTACATAATTGGGSGGCTCCCTCTGCTGGGCACTTCTCTGATCACTGGAAAGACACTTTAAATCCATCTGTGAAGGGATTTCAGAGAGACTCAGGGATTCAGATCAGGTGGGGATGTCAAGGGTRATGTTATCCATCTGTCTGGTGTAAGACTGAATAAGGTACCCTGACATATTTTGGCTTGTGTAAATACTGATCCTTAAAGAGTTTCACAACTTTCCGAAGTAGCCTATTCCCATGCTGAAGTGTCCTTACACTTAGAAGGGGTTTCTCAGTTTTAAATATCCCTTAAAACAAATCATATTGTCCTGCTTTCAGTGACATTGAATAATCACTTTTTATGGCAATTTAACTCACCAAATTTTCTCCTTTTCCCTGTCCCTCTTTGTTTTCTTTTCATGACAAAATAAAAATGCTAAGCAAGTTTTGTTTTGGAATCTTGTATCATTTCATCACACATCTCTTAATTTCTCTCATTTTTGATGCCATTTTGAAGTGTCATCTCCCAGCCTGGATGAAGTACTTCAGAGGAAGTTGTACCACCATCAAATAAAGCTCAGTAATTATTTTCTGTATCTTGCATATGGCTCTTTTCTTATTTAATCCCTTTTTGAGACAGTATTGAAGTAGGACTCTAATTTATGAGTCCTTCGAGTTTGACAGCATATTACTGATAATAATACATTAAGCACAGTTTTTCAACTAGTCAGGCTCTACTTCATGTGATTTTCATGTAGATCATATTTCCCTGACTTGCTCATGAGTATCCAAGTAGGAATATGTGAAAAGACTTACTAAAGTAAAAACGTATCTGTACTCAGCTTGTATCTCACATCTATTTTTTCTGCCTATATGTGAAGTCAGTTACCCCATTGCAAGGGTTAGATTGACTTTACATGACTTACTCTTGACAAATATATAACAGCTATTTCTCATCTCTTGTTGCTTGCAAACCAATTGTTTAATAATTTGATATGGTATTCTTTTGATACTGAAATTTGGCTGAATGATCTCTATTGTAATTTTCTTGTTCCTAGTTTTTTCAAAACTAGATAGTATCTTTGTCCTTCTCCACTCTCCAGGCATTTAGCCTAGAATTTTCCAATACAATTATAAATAGTTCACATGTTGCTTTTGCAAATGGATGTGCATGGAGTAAATGTATTTCAGACAAAACTCGAAATATAATTAATCCTTTGATCAGTGGCATCCAGCAAGCCACTGTAGTGGCTCATACACTGTAGTGTATGAGGCAATTGTCCTCAGGGACTGCTAACCTTGTCTTCTCAAACTTATTCTAGACATGTTACGACTACTGTTTCTACCTCCTTTTTAATATTACTGCTTGGCATCTGCTTGAAACCTTTCTATGAAAACTGAAGCAAAAAAGGCATCAGACACTTCAGTCTTTTCTGAGCCATCTGTTATGAGTTTTCATCCCACATCGAGTTTTAGGCCTACATTTTCCTCTCTGATTTGTAGCATATGAAACATTTATTTTTTGTTTTGGTTATGTCTCACTTTGCCTGTGCATCTTTTGGGTTTGTCCCTTACTACTTCTATTCTGTTGGAAGTGTCACTGTTTCCAGTTCTGTTTAAATCCTGGTGGTTTTTTTGGTTTTCATGTCTTCACAGAATTTTTGGTACAGCTATATTTGTSTGGTTTTGGCTTATCTTTTGTCCATATAAGGGTAATGTGCCTGTAATGTCATCTGGTTCAGACCTTACTGTACACATTGGTGTTTCTTTATTCATTTTCCCCTTTGAAATTCTTCCCTGTGTTACTTGCTGGTTATCTACAATGTGCTGGAGACATATAGCCTGAACTGCTCTTCCACTGTCTTCTCTCATTTCTTTCTTCTACACAATGTTGTCATTTGCCTTTCCTGAAAAATCCGTTCTCTAGAATTCATCTGAATTCATCCCTTCAAAAGTCTACATTGTAGATGTCCACAGCTGAGGGTGTCTGTGTAGTTCACAGAGAGAAATGAGCAGTCTAAACATGGGGATCGTTATATATATATATATATATATATATATATATATATATATATAATGTATATATAAAATTGAATCCTTGAGGTGCGAAAAATATCTGCATGTGTGCATAGTCACATGCACAGAAATTTGAATGTGTGTACACACACACATATGAAGGCATCACCCTTTTTTCATGGTTTTTTTTTTCATTCCTAAACAGTCCCGCAACTGCAGAAGGTGATGTTCTCCTGATTCAGTTTTGTTTATTTTCTTAGTGAGCTCTTCCTAAGTTTTTCAGGYCAAAAGTGGTGAGTATATGGGTTTCAGCACAAGAAACACCTTAGGAAATTAATTTCTGTCCTCCCATGTCCCTACATTACTATTTGTTTCTATGTCCATGCTGCAGAAATCCTGCTATTGTGGTGGTGTTGATACAAYTCCTTGTGTTTCCATGCTCATTCATGTTTAGCAAATATCTGCCAGCGGTGCTCCCCCAAACATTCCTAGACCACAAAGATTCACACAATGCATAATGCACTACTGGAATCTGCAAATTGCATTGCAGCTGAAAAAGAGAGAGAGAGAGAGAGAGGCAGAGAGGGAGAGAAGTTGCCTGGACTTTATGATATGGTCAGCTCTGATCATCATTCTTCTTACATTGTTTTTTCCTTAAGTTCTCTATGGTGCATAGCATCCTTCTAGACAAAAGGTTGTAGCATCCTTCYAGAYAAAAGGTTCTGGCATCCTGACTGCATTTTTTTAATGTAGCATTTAATTGCCTAAAGGAATTGCTTTTGCTTTTGAGCACCACAAGGTATTTTCCTTCCCTAGAGAAGAAATTCTGTGCGGCACAGCCGGCTCCTTGCTGGCCCAGGGGGCACAGGATCAGCATTTGGAAGTGAATCTATCTTGGCCTTGGTAATGCTGAAAACTAACTCTGACCTGTATAATAACAGTTTATTAGTCTTTAATGATGAATTAATTATCCTTGGCATTTTATTTATCAGTGCTTTAGACATCCTAGAAGAAATAAATCTGTCAACAAAGCGTCAAAATAAGTTTAGTGAAGCTGCTCTGGAAAAACTACTTGATAACAATCTTTCCCAAAAGTACAGCCGGATGGGATATTTATCATCAAGTAATATCATTGTTAATGGATTCTATGATTGTGGTCAGGTAAGCTGTTCTAAACAAATTACTCTATTTAAAAAGAGTAAAATTTTCATTTTAATTTAGAAAGAGTAGTGTAGCAAAAAAGCCAGAGTCTAGCTACAGAAATACTTCGTTTTCTTGTCCTGAAATTTCACAGCTGTTACACAGACTTTTTTGATTATCTTTTTTCATGGATGAAATAATCTTCATGCTATTCCCTATCTGTGATCTTCCCAATCCTATCTRAGCTGTTCAGACCTCATTCCTTTCCAGATCCTTTCTCAAATTTTAGCTCTTCTGGTCTCTTTCCCTGCACTGTATTTAATATTAACTTGACATTGAATGACCTGTGGAYGTTTTGTTTGTTTATTTTTACATAAGGGAGCAAAGAGTTCTTATTTTCACCTCGGTCACGACCCTTTCTCTCACARAAGAAGTGTTTGTATATAAAGACTGACTCTAGTATCACTTGTTAGTGCTGTGTTCAGTTTAGATCCGAGAAGGACTTTTCAAAATACCCAAATGAATTTGAAATATCAGTCTTACAGACAATCAATGAAATATCAGCTCCTAAAGCACTGGGTTGCTTATAAAAATTCCATCCTGTAATTGTAAAGCTTTCAGAGGCAGGAATATTTCCTTATTCTGGAACTTTTTGGAATGCCTTAATAGCCATAACTACAAGCTAAATTACAAAATAGTTATAASCAATCTTTTCTAAGAAAAATTGATAAAGAAAATGCAAATTAAGAAGAAAATAACTTCAGATATTTTGAATGGTTTTGTAAGTTTTCACTCTGTCTCTGATTTTGTATTAGGAATTTTAAATTACTGTTGAGGTATCTTTTAAATGTATTTTTTCTCKGCATCTTTTACTGAAAAGAACACCTTATATTTTATGCTAATTTTCTTGTAGGTAAAACGTGGAGCAAGATTTTTGACTTTGGAAGAACTAAGCAAGAAAGGGCTTACAGACCGTAGGGCCATAATCCTCATTAATGCTAAGCCCCAAGAAGAGTGAGTCATGTTAGATGTACTAGCATTTGTTGTAATAGCTCATCTTTTCATTGGTTTTCACTGTTTCCAACACAAATTTCATTCTATCTGTCTGTCTGTCTGTCTATCTATCTATCTATCTATCTATCTATCTATCTGTCTGTCTGTCTGTCTGTCTGTCTATCTATCTATCTATCTATCTATCTATCCACACACATATATAGAGACACCTGTTTTATTCCCAGCATGGTGCTTTTATGTCCTAGAAGACAAAACATTTGGGTTTTTAAAATAAGAATTTGGAAAATAACTTATTCAGTTGAATTGCTTTTTTAGTCTTAGCCTTTAAGACTCATTAATTTAACACTGATTCCTGATGATGGGACACCCAGTCTTTTATTAGTTATAACAAAGCTTGTTATCTGCAGTAATAATTATGTCATCTAAGCTGAATGTCAACATTCGACAGTGAAACCTATGATTTGATGGTTCYCCTGTACAGACAAATGCATGGAATTTTAAGCACATCATCCCGAGGGGCGGGACAAATMCAAGCATTAAGCTCTCAGCCTTGATAAAGAACCTGTGACCATTTTTTCTCTGTTTAAGTTGAAGCCAGCCTAACAAATCWTAGATTTGAATGCAGGAAGTTGGTATTGGGCTTGTTTAAATGGGAGCCATTTCCTGTAAACAGTCTCACAGATCAAAGATCGCTCTACCAATATTTTGCAAGTCCAAAAACTTCTTCTCTGTCAACACATCACATATTTGGTTTATAGTATCATTAGCTTCCCTTTTAAGCTTGTTTATGACACTATAAAGATGTCTAGGAATATCTATGACAAATTAGACTTCCATACTTTTTGTTGATCCCTAGAGTTGTCTTTAACTATCAGGTTTTCTTTCTTTGATTTTGATAAGGATTCTTGCTTTTGTACTTTGGCAGCAGTCTTACTCCCCAGTTACTTTTTTGTCCATCATKGGATATTCACCAATCCCAGAAAGGAAAAAAAAAAAAAAAAACTCTAGCAGAGGAGCTAGCAGGGCTTGCTGGCAGAGCTGGCCTGAAAGGGGGAAGAGGACAAACCCAGGCTGGCCGGTGATGAGTGATGGCATGGTGTGTCAAAACTAATGGGACTCTTCAATCTGCCTCAGGAGGTGTTGGCTTCAATGCACCACACCTGAAATGTCTCTACACTGAGAACCCACATGAGGGACAAACAAGGGCAGCTCAGGGCTTTGGTGCAGTCCCAGAGATTTGACATCATTGGCACAAGTGACACCTGATGGGATGAGTGCTGTGACTGGAGTGCCCTGTTGGATGGCTCCAGGCTCCTCAGCAGGGACAGGCACAGCGGGAGAGCTGGAGGGGTGGCACTGCCTTTGATGGAAGGGGTGGAATGTGTGGAGATCACAGCTGGAATGGCACAGTTGGGAGCCTCTGGATGACACAACCAGTGACAGGAGCCAAGGGAATGGCCTGGATTCTCTCAGGGGAGGCTTAAGTCAGATATCAGGAAAAGGTTCTTCACCCAGAGAGTGAGCTGAGCACTGGAACAGCTCCCCAGGGACGTGGCCACAGCACCAAGCCTGACAGAGTTCAGAAGGCACATGGTGTGACTCTTTGGAATGGTTCTGTGCAGAGTTAGGAGTTGGATTCAGTGATCCTGATGAGTCCCTACCAGCTCAGCATATTCTACCATTCTGTGATTCCATATTTCTTTTTTGATCCCTGGATTAATGTCTGGTTTATTAGTAATTATGTTATTTCTTCCACTTATATACCACCGATGAATATATTTACTGTCCTTTAAAATCCAAACACCATAGCATCACATGCAAATATTAACTCTGCAAATAACATGCAAAAATATCTTACTCTTTTTCAGGGTTGTAGAGAAAGTACAAGATGTATCACCATCTGTTTCAAGAGCAAGCAGTAGAGAAAAAGGAAGGTATGGTTTTCAGATTTACTAATTGTCRATGCTCTGTTATTGCTCTAACACTAGAAATAGAATTCTAACAACATAGAAATAGAATTCTAACTGAAAATAGTGACAGTTTCTGAATGGACTACAAATACTTAAATACAATGTTGAATGTTTTGGAGTCTTTCACTCACCTCCTGTTTCCAGTAATATTAATTTGTCTATCTTAGTGATTATTTGTCCTCCCTTCCCATGCTGTATTGAACAGCTCACACTTGTTTGCTTTTTTTTTCTTTCATTATCTATTGGAAGCAGTGAAATGCTGTTATTTTACAACCTGACAACCAAGACACAGGGAAATTGCAGAAGAAGACATTTTTCAGTTTAGAACCTAGACCCATAAAATGTTCCTACATTGCCTACATGACTCCTTATTTCTAGATTAAATCTCTTCCAGTGGAATTCCTTAGGTGGAAAAGGTGAGAACAGTGTGGTCAGAACTGTCCTGATTTTTAGGCAACTAGACTAAAAATGCTTCACTACTGCAGGGCTTGTCCTGATCCATAAGATACTCTAGGCACAGTGCTACAGTCTGTCTGTTCCTGCCAAGTAAATCAGAACCTCTACTCTTGTAGTAAAAAATTAATTTCTCTCTTTTACAGAAAGATGATTTGAGTCTGTCCTTCACACCTGCAGATAGCTGACCRCAAGATTTTTGGGGTTTAGCAGAGYCTTTGTGRTTTATTGTAGCTGATCACTAATGATGAGGTGTAACRAACAGGGCTTTCTATTTCAGCGGTTCAGGTACTTAACATCCTTTACWGTCACCAAGACCAGGCTTCTAGACCTTGTCTAATACAAAACACTTAACCCGTAGTTTGTTCCTGTGGAAGAAAACTGAGCCATGGTCTCCCAACTGTCYTTCCTGTAAAAAAGCAGCACAATCACGACCACAACAGTACCTTTTGGAGAAGGCAGGTGTACATGCCAAATTCCAGGGGAATCCAAAACCAGTCCAAATAGAGCCTCCTTGCCATCAATGGAATGGTCTCTAGTCCTTGATTGGAATATATATAACCAAAACTCTCCTTGAGTTTTCTGTTAGCTAACCTAATGAACTGACCATTCATCATGCTAGTTTCTGTGGGTCCCAGTCCTGACTTCCTAATTTTCCTTTCTTTATGGTATAGGGAGCCTTGGCAATGGCTCAGGGAGGTAAATTCTAGCCAGTGGTACACATTGCAAAATGCTAAATTCTGSAGGGTTGGAAGAAAAGGAGAAATAGTGTGTTGTAGGAGCTGATGTACTAAGTTTCCAGTTTTTATGTTGGAGCTCATCCATGAACTGTGACACACTGCTGTCTGTACATGCATTTTATTGACAGAGATAATGGCTGATTTCTTACACTGCTTGTCTATTTCTGTGTACATTTGTATCTGTGCTTGAGAGACGATATGTGCAGTAAGAATGTCCAGACAAAACTGAAAACTGCTTTTGACTCAGTGATTCAGTGATGTCTCCAATGAAGGAAAGGCAGGAGTTATATGAACAATGGTGTTCACTCAGCAAAAGCAGCACTAGAGAAAAAGGCTGAAAGTATTATACTTTGAATTACATTTGAATATATTTGAGTTACATCAATTTGTTTAGAACTGACACACAAATTGTTGACAGATAGTAGCCACTGACTGTGAATGGTTGAGGTTGTGACTTAAGTCAGACTAGTCTATCCAAAAGTTATTTCTTACAAAGCATACATTTGCATTTGACTAGTTATTTGGACTGGAAGCACTTCTGGCATTCAGTTTAARTCATTTCACAGTGGATACCTGAAATGGATCATGTGAATTGCATTGTGGAARGTTCCTGTTTCAGGATGTACCAGAGTAGATGCAGCAGCTCTAGCGTCTCAGGAGGCCTGTCCCGGCTTCTGCTCCTTGCAGGTCCTCCTGCTGTCCCGCATGCTCTGCTCATGACCCACTGTGCATGTGCCACTTTACTCAAAGGAAACACAGACAAGAGRAGATGCTGAGCCCCAGTTATGTTTTCTCTCCTCTAGCTGGGAGTTCCTTCACCTCAGAAGATGCTTTAGAGTCCTAGGCCATTTTGTATAGTCTCAGGAGCTGAGACCTGTTCTGACAAGATAATTCATTTGTTTATTACAGCGTCTGATAAGGATACACTGGATAGTTCYCTTTGAATGTAATTTATGTCAATTACAGAGTAAATGCTCTGTTTGCAACCATAACTCTTTTGGAAAGCAAAAAATTTTATTTAGAAAAAGCAAATACTTGCCTCAATTTCCCATAGTAAACCTTGCAGGGATACAAGGACTCCTTTCTTCAAGTATGAAATAATTGCTTTTGAATGTCAYGATGAAGTTCTATGATTTATAATCCCATTGTCATTCATTTTGAATCCATAATTCATACATCATTATTATTATTAATTTGTGAGATATATGGGAGTTACTTGAAGGTCAGTATCTGACTCCAAGTCTCAAACATGCTTAGACATTTTCCTACATATTTTTTCCTTTGATCATAAGTTTCTGYTCATCGTTATTTTGCAAAGTACTACTGAACACTGTTTAAAGCCATTGTTTTGAAAAAGTGATACTACTTTATATAAACTGTAGTTGAAAGCCAAAAGAAAGGGCAGTTGTAATTGTCTGTTGGAAATGTTTGAATTAGATGTAGAGGAAGTGCCTAGTTGATAGTTTGACATATATTTGCATTGACAGCAACATTTTTCATCAAGCAGTTTCATGTGTGATATRCACATTGACTGGGCTAAAAGACTGTATTTAATGTAAACTAATAAATGTGTATTTATTCAGTTCTATGTTCCAGTACAACATTTAAGGAAATACTTCTCAAAGCTCATTTATTCCTTTTCAAAAGAGAACCAGGGCATTTAAGCTATGCAATASAGGAAAGAAAATAGGTGTCATGGCTGTCTTTTGATGGTAGAACGTTGTATTGGCTGCCTTCTTCCTCCAGCTGATGCTCTGGTGACCTGTTGGACTCTTGTACTAAAGTTGCAAAGAATCAGAAACAGCTTGGAGACTATTAAGTGCCATGAGCTCTCCTTAGCAATGTTCCTCTGCTTTCACAGCAAGTATTCTCATGACTGGAATACAGCTCTGAGAAATTAGAGTGATTTTTTTCTGATGACACAATTCCTACTGGTAAGGGATTAAAGAAAAAAGACAATAGTAGTCTGCTAGTGGTTACTGGTTGTTTTATAGCACTGAGCTGTAAGATAGCAGCTCCACACTTCATTTTGAGATAAGGATTAGACAGTTATGATGATGAGTTGAGCAGTAAGGTAGAGACAAGTGTGGAAGACAATCTTGAATCAGCTATTCCACCAAGGAACAGAACTCAGTCATACCTGAGAGAAATAAGCAGCATTAGAAAAACCCAAGCAAATCACTGTTCAAACCCATCTATCTCAGATGTTTTCTTCCTGAAAGCAGGAAAGGAGGAGAATAAGTGTGATTTGAGACTCATTTGAGTAGATAGGAATAGGGAACAAATTTTCCTATAGCACTGTAGTTTAATGGTGCACTTCTCATCGAGGAAACAAAGGTACTGGGAGGATAGAGGGGAAGAAGAGGGAAAAGGGCAAATGGAGAAGAAACAAGAATTACAGCATTTATAAAAGTTGTTCTTTTGAAAACTGCTTGAACTGGACACCAGAGAATTGGGAATAATTCAGGATTTTTTAAACATGGTATTCTTAACCATAATGGATAAATGGATAAATGGATACGCAGATAGCTATTTAATCTAGCATTATAAGGTTCCCTGGCTATAGTTAGATAGAGTCAAATTAGATAAGAAAACTGTTTGTCTGCTTTTTTCCAAGTATAAGTATAATTAATAACCAGAACAGTTTATTTAAGAGGGTGGTGAATTTTCTATAATTTTAAGATTAAATCTTAATTGGTTATCCTTCTAAAATAATGTGCATTGTGACACCAAAGAAAAGGGCTTTTTGTGAATATGGTAAATCTCAATAGGTTAAAGAARAGTTTGCAAAGTATTCTGAAGACAAATTGCTTGAATTCAACTACTGATAATGGTGTATGCCCTTTTGCTTTGTTAAATGCCTTCCATCTTAAGAGTGCTATTCATAATAAAAATTTTAAGAATAATTTGAAGAGCAAGCAATAATGATAGTGTGTCCTGGAGCCATGTACTGTAGTGGTCCTTTATTTCTTTTTTTCTTTTTCCTTCCAAGATCACCAGAAGTATTATGGATTTTTAAAAAAAATAAGCCAGAACTCTTTAATGAAGGAAATTTTTTTTATTTCATACTATAATAGTGCAGGATCTCTGCTGAAAAAAATACATAATGCTTACAATACATTAGGTTCATATGATCTCACAAATGAAAGATCCTAAACTGTCTGACTGCATAGGCCTTAATAATACCTCTGATAAGATACCCATTTTATAGYTGCTGCATAACTTGTGAAATGCACAGTATTTAATCTAAGAAGAACAAGCATTTCACTTATACTTCTGTTGGGTGCTCTTCAGAATCACAGCCATTTTTCAGATCCTGAGCATTAGTGAAATATGAAGCATATGCAATGAAAAAAGTCAGCAAAAACACAGACTTGTTACAAAATCTTCCTCTGACAAGCCATGTTGTATAATAGTTTGCATAATGCTTGAAGTACCTGAATTTGCAAGTACAGAGACTGTCTTGTCAAGATTTGAGCTGTGCTTTTGATACCATTTGTTCTTTTATTTGAAGTCCAGATTTTTGTCATAAAAACTCATTTGAGTTCATGATTTTTAGTTCATTTCTGTACAGAATTAAACCATAAATTATGTTCTATATGCATATAGTAGATATCTAGTCMCCTAGATAATCCATATATGGGAAAGGCATATCAGAGCCATTAACAAAAAATAAAATGAGAATTTGCAACAATATTCACATGGAGCTAGTGGCACTTGCTTCCTAAACACCTCCTGAGGGCATATTCTCTACAGCTTTTTGGACATTTGTTACCAAGAGAAAAGATGCCTCCTACCCTCCATCTCTCTCCAGTCAATTGTCCTGCTGGAGAACTAATGTATTTGAATTTTAGAGATTACACTATTCTCAGTAAATGTGTATTTTTTTCTATGTAAGAAAAGGGAAGGGGAAAAAAGAAGAGGATAAAACAAAGGAAGTTACTGGAGTTACACCCAAAGTCCAGGAGGAAATAAATCTAGAACATGCCCAATGGGTACCACCACCTGACTTTATTTTAATGGATTACATTAATGAAGCTTCCAAAACAATTCTACCACTAACTACTACCCGGGAACAGATTGTGGCTCTTGCACAGTGAGTACCAAATTGTATTTCCATAAGCTGAATTGGTGAAATAACTGTATTTTGTTTTCTATAGAGCCAAAATCATAAGACAAATTTTCTAACATAGCCTTTAAGTGCTCCTGTTATTAATATCCTGATGATATAATAGTGCCAGAATATTGCAATAGTGCATATACAGACTGTTGTTACCAATGTGTGATTCATTAGTTACACTGACTACTCAGCCTGGGCACCAATCACTGTCACCTCCAAGCAGCGTCTCTTTTTATCTTCTCCTTAGTTTAACCTTTATATCTTAGCAATTTCCTGGCTGCCTCCTGAATCTGGAGAGTTTGGTGTCAGACCCCACTTACTCTCACAAAATTTGTTACTTTTACTAACTCTCATTTTTAATGAAGTGGTCTAATGTGATATGAGAAATGACTTTTCCATTGATTGCAGAATTTGACAGGACAGATACTCATCCTTAACTATCCAGCTSTGTATAAATCATGCTGCCTTCCTCAAGGTGGAATCCATAAAATTCTCTTTTAAATCCGCTCTTCTAACACACCAGTGAAATACTTTCGGACACAAGTGAAACAACCCACACAGGTGTTGTTTCACAACCCAGTGAAACAAACATGGGAAATTTAAGTAGACTGTTTTCTGTGGGGATTTTTATGTTTGTGTTGCATTTCAAGCGGCTGCCTGAATAGCATGTKTTGAAGAGGGAGTGCTGGAGAAGGCAGCTGCAGCATCCCTCAGCAGCCTGGCAGCCTGGGCAGAGTTCCTCTTGTGCTCAACTGGGGAGGGGGTCAGGCTAAGGAACATCAGCAGTGCTGGATGACTCCTTTGGAAGAAACACAGMGCACCTTTGTGTGGTGGTGAGCACMTCAGCTYGGGCARCTTTGCTCACTTTTTTGAGGGCTGGCCATGGGCGCACCCAGCACAAGGAACTTCCTTGAGTCCCACACTTTCTCAGCTTCACCAGTAGTTCCCAGCTTCAAGATGTCACATCTGACACACTCAGTTATAGCTCCTCGCACCCGTGCTGTTGCAACCAGTGCCTCCTCYGCCCTAAGTTTTGAGAAGTGAGGCCTTGGAGTTTGCCTTGCTTGTGTGGTGAAGACAGAACATGTTCACAGCTTTTGCAGAGGAAGAGTGAGATTTTCATGTCAGCTCTGAAACATCTTGTCCAGAGTGAGAGCCCTCAACAATCCTTGTCCTCGTGGCTGAGACACTGAGAGAAATAAAGGTCTTTACACACAGCCACCCTGCACAGGGGAGATGAAGGTGTGCATGTATGAGGAGACTTGCAAACCAGGGCTTGGTCCTGTGTGTGCACCATCATCCAAAAGACATGCTTTTTGGCAGTTTGCACTGACTGTAAATTTTGACCTGTTTCTTTTTCTGAGCTATTTGTTTTAATGCATAAAAACTGCTCACCCCCAAAATACAGGCTTCAATAAAAGAAAGCGCATGTGAATCTAGAATCTAGACACTTTCCTATGCTGGGATCATTATCTATGGCTTTGACATACATATTCTCATGTCTTCATTCCTATTTCAAACAAGTCATAGGTCTGGGGACTGTAATATGTAACATACCTCATCTGTTACCTGTAAATATAAACACCAGCTTCTGTAATTTCTTTCTCTGTAATTACACTGTTATTATGTTTTTTTCTGAGAACTTTGTGCCTATACTACACCACTCCAGAATCTCTGTGTTTGCACCTTGTTTAGGTCTGTGACAAATATGACTGACCTGAGTTATGGTTATCTGTATTTATCAGTAAGCATATTTAAAATACCAATTACTGGATTTTAAAAAATAATTAAGCAAACATAGAAAAAGTTTCACAGTCTCAAAGGTCATTAATTTCTTGCTTATATACATTTCATTTTGCTAAATGTTTGCAATATGTACAAGTGAAATTATAGCTGTAATTGATCCCAGTATGCATTTGAAACAGGTTTGTYGCAGACAAGATGGGTGGCTCTGTTGAAAAAGAGAAACTCCATAACTACTGCTGGGAACTTCACATAAGTGAAATAGAATTTGAACTGAAAAGCAACATTGTGCCTATTGGGAAAATACAAAAAGGGACGTTCTATCACAGGGCTTTACTTTTCAAGGTACATTATCATTTATTTTGCAATATAACATATTGATGTTAAATAGATAAACTAATCAAAAGTATATTTGCATCAGTATAATACTGTACTGATATTCCTGTAAAATCTTTTGTATACAGTTTCATAATTTTTCACTAGCAAAGTTGATTTCCCAGTGAATGAAAGCCAGCATYGCTTCTTTCTGTAAACATTCTTGTTGTCATTAAATTGTCTTAAGTGATATCAGCAGAATACTTGATAAATGGCAAAAAGCCAAAGTATTTGATTTGGAGTCAAAACATTTTACATTTTCTGTAAACTGTAAAATATTGAATTATGCAGCTTCCTTCTTTTKCCATGCTGCAAATGTAAACTTGTTGGGACAATTTTTATTTGGTATCTGTGATATTCTGATAGTATATAATAGCTTTTKTGTTCTTGTTTCTTAGACTGGGAAGTTTTATTTCTTCTTTCTTTATATGAAGATGTACTGATGCAGCCAAGTTATCTGTCCCATCCTTTTTTTCTTGGCAGGGTTTTTCTCTTTCTTGAATGGAATGAAAAAGAGAAACAAGGGCCTAGTACATTAAGCAGGAGGGATCTAAAAAAGAGTACACAGGAGAAAGAGTACAACCCTAAATTTATGRTATCCATAGGGAGGGAAAGTTTCCCAACTTATTTTATGAAGTTCTGAGGGTGTGAATTAATTATGCTCCACTGTCCTAAGAAACTTTTGTAGGGACAGATCATCTCTCTTRAAGCACAGCTCTCTAAGCAATGGATATCCAGGTCCATTTGTAACAACTTAAAAATCTTCTAGGATTTCCTTCCTTCACAGGAGATGCATGGTGAGAAAGCAGTTTTGTAGCTGGAATCTATTATAGGTCTGTCTTGATAGGRCAACCCAGAGGAAAGGCAGGTGTTTCATCTAGCAGACACTTGGCTCRCATTTCATTGCTTCCCACATTTCCAGGGCTGAAAAGCAAGGAGTGAAGCAACAGTCCTAAATTTACCCTGATAAAAATGTACATTTTTACACTTAATATTTCATACTAGCTATGTATGTGCTCTGTGCCTACACCTCATTGTTTGAATAGACTTCACAATGTAATTCAAAAGTCTTCCAAATAGAAAAAACCATTGCTGGGTACTGTGGGTGTTGCACTTMATTTGATATCTGAAGGACTGATAAACAAATGTATCAGTGTTTGAAAAGAGTTAAAAATGAATATTTTTAATGTTGTACATAGGATATCAAACAATAACATTTAAAAGCCTACAATTTCTGAGCAGAACCAAAAATAAAGCTTTGAAATTTGGAACAGCTGAGAAATTTATGAAGTCTGTTTCAAGAATTGGCCTTTCAGGTGTTTGTTTTGTTTTTAAGCATCTMTGGGCATTGCTGTATATCACAGAAGCTACATGGATGAACAGTGATTAACTACTTTTTCTTTCTTTTTTAGGCGATAGCAGACAGAATTGGCATTGGCTGTAGTTTAGTTCGGGACAAGTATAACAGAGCTTGGAATGAAGTTAAATTGGTTGATGACTCTCCCAAAGGGCACCTGCTTCCTCCTCAAGAGTATATTGTAGATCTAATGTTTGAACCAGGCAGTTTGCTAAAACAAAGAAGTGCCAAGGCAGATCAATACAAACAGATTTAATTATCTTGTTGAATTTCACCAAAATAAATACTTAAAACATGTTTCTGGTTCTGCATTTATGAAACATAAGGGGGTTCATACCCAGCTATCAAAAAGAAGTGTATCTGGTATGTTGTCTTAAAGGTTTAATTAAACATGTTTTTGGCATCCAACTTCAGTTCTTAGAAAKGTCATTAATTTTTTTTGTACTATTTTAAGACTAAACTGCAAAACTACGGATTTAAATTCGATAATCAGTAATATTTGGTGTGTGCTAACAGCATATTGGGTTTTTTWAAAAAAATTTTCCTTTGAATCCCATGCACACTTACAGGAATTTCATGTCCATAAAGCAAGAAAATGTGACATCTGATGAAATAACAAGTCACCTAAAAACAACTGGACAGTTTTTATGTGAAATAACCCAAGAACTGAGGATTAGAACTRCAATAACAGTATACTTTCAGCCTCTGTAGAAAAAAAACTCCATTTATATTTCTTAGAACTTGGCAGAGTTAATATTTACAGATAATAAGATATTCTGGATGAAATTAAATACTGTTTGTCCTGGCACAAGGAAGACAGATGATTGATAAGTTAATGCTTGTAATCTCTGTTTAAGTTCTCTATTTTTCACTTGAAGATAAAATGGACTCTGAGAACTCAGCAGTTTTAGACAGGGAATTTGTATTTCTTGCAGCCTTGGGTAACGGGGTGTTGCTRAAGAGTGGTGGTGCTTCTAAGGGAGGTAAAATACTGGCTAGAACACTCTGGTGAACACTTCCTGGTGAAACTGTCAGGAAGGTACTGGAGTATTTCAGAGAGCACTACTCTCAATTGAGTTTACTGTACAGAACTGAGAAAATGTCCTGTATAGCAGTTAGGCCAGTGCAGGCAACGTTGTACAGAACTGAATTTCTGAAGACCAGAACACCTAAAACAAGGCATTTACTTCCTGCCCACCAAAAATGTGATTAAAAAATTTGGCATCTGTGTTCTTTTAGCTTCTTTATGTTTGTGTAAGCACAGTCACTTGACTGCTTTGGGTTGAGGAGGTTTGTATCTGTTGTATTCATTACTKCTCATCAGCATGATCATAATGCTCCTTCTCCTTCCTCCTCTGACATTCAGCATGATTTCCTGGTAGCCCTTAGGGGAACATTTTATCTTCATGTTGTAAAWTCACTTATATGGCCTCATGTTCTTTTTTTTTTTTTTTACCTTATGTTCAGCAGTCCTGTAGACATCAGAATGAAAAAGAACTCTGGAAACAAAATGCAGGRTGTGCTGGCAGAACTGAGAGAAATGTGAGGATGTGTTTCTTATCATTGCTATGTAGCAGGTAGTGGACTGACAGAAAGTCATATGTTCTCACTGACAGGTATGATTCAGTATGGAAAACCACAAGTTGTACTTTACAACTTTGAAAGTACAGTAAACTGAAGTAAAATAAGAATTAATTTCCTGCTAGGTATCATTTTGTATAGTTTTCTTACATTGGAATTCCATTATTTTGTATTGGAACCATAATGTTAAAATATGACTTACTGTGTTTGAGGAGGTCTTGAAAAGAAAGCAATTTCTGTTGTTTCAAATAAAAATTGATATTAAAGAAAAAGACAAAAATGCAGGTTTTCAAAATAAAAACTGGGAAACTTCTAGACATAAAAGCTCACTTTACATAAAATAGTTATCTAAACAAATAAAGCCAAATACTATACCCTGCATTGTATAATGCAGAATTTGGTGATCGAAAAATGTAGCATCAAAAAATTATTTATGTCTTTCAGTTTTGAACTGTGTACTATCTGAGTTCTGTCACTTCAAAATTGTAATGTACTGGGATGTCAGAATTAAGATCTAGGAAGAATATAAACACTTCAATCTCAAACTATTACTTTGAAAACTGCACTTTATTTGTCAAGTAAGTCAAGAGATGCCACACTTTTWAATTTGATATTAATCAGGGACCTGTAGTTGTGTCCATGGCCTGGTGAAAAATTCTCCCAGCCTTGGTAAGAGCAGCTCAGCTCACACTCATTCCAGAACTGAATCAGGAAACAAAATATTTGCACGTTTCTACAGGGCTCAGCTGGGTGAATATTCCCTGGATATGCCCAGCACACACCGTGTGGCTTGGGCCATGCCTGAGGGAATTGATCACCTACCTTCATTTAGGGAGCAGATGGGGAAGGGCTCGTATTTCCTTTGACATAAYAGTTCACTGGGCAGATCAGTCACACAAAAGGAGTCAGGCTTGATGCCTTCCTAAGCACGAACAAAATAGTCTGCAGCTACCTCACTGCRGGATCTCTTCTGGCCACTAAGCACTCTGCATCTCTTTTTGAAGATCTGCTGTCATGTAGAAAAGAATGCAGAATTAATAAACTACAGAAACAGAAAAGYTGAGCAACCTCTTCGGCTTACTATTTGAGGTAGCAATTAGGCTTTTCCTTTGGGAAAAAAAGAAGTCTGGGTCTCCAGTACCCACTTCCAGAAATTTACTTATAATTTTCTGCATAAACATGTGAATTTCTACTGTAAAATGTAGAAAATGTACCCTACCTAGAACAAAATCTCATAATTAGGTGCTGTCCTGCAAAGTGAAAAGCTGTCTTAAGCAAAGGTAACAACTGAGATGAGGTTCAGTCCTCCACAGCTGTAACCACCAGGCAATGAGACAAAAATGGGTATCATGGCCAGCAGCTGTACAGATAAAAACCAAATGTGATGGGCTCAGACAAAGAGGGCATGCAAATGGTTATCCCAGGACAGTGATGGGAACTGAAGATTCTAATTTGAAYGAGGCACACCTCTAAGTCATCCTCACTGTGGTGTCTGTACTTTTGAGAGAAGTTGGCATGGAGACTCATTCCTCCTGTAAACAGGAACTGCCCAACTTAGTACTGACTGTGCAAATTTGCCCTGCTCAGCTTCCTGCATTGTCTTTTCCAAGGATTGTGCCAGGGATACACCAGACATGCACACACATATCCCCCAGAAATATCCTGCTACCCTCACTACTCCTTAAAAGGAATTTTGATTTGGCATTGAAAAGCACAGTGCTTAATATACAGCACATCTGCATATCAAGAAATACAAATATGGACTGTGTTGATAAAAGGTCAGGTATGATTCCTACCTTTCTGATGAATGTGAGCCAGTAAAGCAACAGGCCAAACTGATGGTGGTGTCAATGGGATTGCAAGTTGCAGTAGAGGTTTTGGTACGAGAGAGTCTAATGCTTTGACCCTATATCCATCTCTTTTTGCTTCTGTGTGTGCTGGGTCCATTTTGGCTAAGGAAATAATTCCAGGCTTTGTCGACAAGTTTTTGGCTGAGATATGTTTCTGAGGGGTTCTTCTGGTAAACACTTTGCTGCCCAAGTGGCCTGTTCTTCCCCCAGCAGTCATCAAGGCAGTACAGATTGCTGACAGCAGCCYCACCAGTGCTTCCATGCTTCCCTTCTGTTGCCCTTCATCCCTAAGTGGTAGGAACACTGATGTTAACTGACACTTGTTTTATCTTTATGCTAGCAGGGAACAACTGCAGTGCAATTTATAGARTTGGGACATTTCAAATAGTTTCTGATTACCCACTGTGAAACTAGAACATTGGCAGAATGTTGCTCCCTCAAACTGTGCACTCCCGTGCATGTAGAAATTGAAATGAGCACTTCCTCCYGGAAATCTCCATTGCTGATTAACTCTGGATCCTCAGAAGAATCCAGAGCTCTCAGAACAAAATAGGTGTCCATTTTCAGATCCATGAGAAACTTTTATTTTGTTACTGTTCTCATTAAACTTGTCATCAGGGAAAAACAAGTCTTTCATTAGTAAATGCGGGCTTTAGGTCATGACATGTTATTTCATCTATAGCTTCACTGCATGAATCTGCACCTCTTCTACATGACTCATTTCTCYGTAAATCCAGTTCATTATCAATATAGAGTGTCAGAATGAAAACTTCAGAGGCAGTAGGCATTTAGTGGCCAGTGTGTCAAATTAGTTAAGATGGAAAAGTGCACTAAAACATTTATTATATTCATAGCCCTCTTGCTGGCTTATACAAGAGTCTTCCTCCCAACTCTTTGGCACTACCTATTTTCTTCAGAAGACTGAAAAAAGAAAAAAAAAATCCCCTTGCAATTAAAAGTCCAAGCACATTGCAACAAAATAGAAGAGGAAAGCATAAGAATGGAAAAACAGGCTGAAGCCAGGAGTATATCCAAGCAAGTAACCCATGACCAGCRATGATCAGTATAGAAAAGGTAAAGAGCATGGCCTAAATACATTTCTGCATTTCCAGAGTACTCTGCTAGGTTCRGCACTTCACAGCTGAGGGGATTTCTGTGTGTCTAGGGATTTAAAATTACATTTACACAGAGATGAAAGCACATAGCACAGCACAGATATASAGGTACAATCACCCACTGGCACATCCAATATACAAACCCTGTAACTCTGCAGCTGTGCCAGGGCTCCTCCTCTCCTCCCAGGCAGCTGCACCTCTTCCCAAAAGGCACAGAGGGAAATGACCAAATGACTCTGCTCTAGCACTTGTGGTGGCCTTTGCAATACAACTGTGTATATGGGACATGATTTTTTCAGTTCACCAGTATTGATATTGGGGCAGATCTTTGCAAATAAATTACCTGCTCTTTAGCCCTCTTAATGAACTTACTATTTTTCTATTATACAGACATTGTCTCTGACTCTGAAAGACATCAGAAATACTGGAATAACTTTATCTGGCCTTCCTTGTTCACTATCACCCAGGCAGAATTTATAATTCATGTTCAGGGAGARTACACACAGAATGAGAGAAACACAGGGAAAGAGACMTATACTCACACACRCATACGTGTCCTTGACTATAAAAAYGTTATTTGCAGGACATGGAAGAAATTGGAATATTGAAGACACAATGACCTAGCAAAAGATTTTTTTCATGAAGGAATAAGTTTATTTGCATGCTAATGAACCAGCTAGTTCTTCTAGCTCATTGATGTTTCACTGACA